AGCTAAATTAATAATTAAAAAAAAATCACATCACTAACCAAAAGCCTTATTTAGATCAATGTAAAATTAATTTTGATAAAATTAAAAATAATAATAAAATTTATTATAGTTACGATTGAAAAAAAAAGATATTGTAATTGTGATTAAAAATATTTTAATAAAAAATTTATATTAATTTAATTTTATTAAAATTAATATTTAAATTTAATTGAATGTACGATAAATTTAATCACATCATACTAAAAATACGGTGGATCCAAACGGCTACAAAGTCGTCCAACTACTTGCTGTTTGCTTGGTCTTTGTGTGCTCTAACGCATCTATCATGAAGCCTGAAGTTTTTTTATCACTTGTTTGCATAATTCTAAACCACAGTCAAAGCTTTTCGTCTATTAACTGTTACATTACTACCAAAGTCTTCCAACAACTTGCTGTTTACTTGCAGTTCATTTCGCAGCCCGGTTGAAGGGCTCCCATGTTACACTGCAGGTCTACTGTGCTGACTTGGAGAATGGTTGAACGAGTTGGGTATTTAATAAAATTTTAATTTCATATTTGAATTTGAAAAATTCTCTAAGAGAAACCTTTAATCAACCCGAAGAATTAGTCACAATAAAAAAAAATCCGAAAGATCGTTTTTAAACATGTATGAAATACAATCAAACAAGAACGAAAGGAGAGACACCAAGAGGAACCTGTTTAATACAAATATATTTGCATTATGTTGTATATTTTGTTGTTTAAGATATTTCTGGGAAAAAATATGGTATTGTGGAAACATATCAAGTTTAGTTTCGTTCATATCTTGAAATCTATACCAATTGTGGTTTAATACATGTCACCTCACTTGAACTGATGGCTGCATTTCAGCTGAGTGCCTGGAATGGTGTATAACTCAAACATTATAGAAGCTTTATTTGAACAGCTCGTTGCAGCAAAGACAGATAATTTTGTTCCAACCTAAACTGGCAATCCAGATCATATTTTGATAAAATAAATTAATGAATGAATCTTAATTTGAGCCGATTCTTGAAAGTATTTGCTGTGAATAGAGATGGCATTAGGTCAGATCGTAATGAGTTTTTGTTTGTCCTGAATCTAATCTAATTTTATATTCATAAGACTAGAATTTAACTTGATTCGAAATTTTTTTTTATTTTTTTATACTCGAATCCGACTCGACTTGATATTATATAAACCATACTCGATTCAATCCAAAATTCATAAAATATTATTTTTAATATAAATATAAAATTATTTAAATATATATAAATAAAAAATTAAATAATTAATTAAAAATAACTTTTTATATATATCAAGTTCAATCGGGTTCGTCTAAAACCTTACCCTAACCTTTTTTTTTATAATTATTCGACTCAAAACTCGATTTAAAAAGAAAAAATTAATCTTATAAGATCTAATCTGATCGGAATCCATCAGGAGTGAGTTGAGCTCCCAACTCTAGCTGTGAATTTGTTTTAAATCAACTAAACTTTAAACTTTTTTGAAATGTTGTTGATTGTGTTTGTTTTTCTTAGCAATTCAATGCTTTTTTCTTTATTGAAATGTTCAGACATTTGTAGACAGCCTACTCTGAAAGTAAATAAAAGGATAAAATAATTTTAAAAAACAGAAAAGATAAAATAGGTGATAAGATTTGATTTAAAATTCAATTGTTTTTTGAAATTAAAATCTAGATTGAATGGGATAGGATGCTCAGTTTTAAACTGAGATCATATCCTCATCACCATTATTTAATCCATTGGCAGCCAACAAAAAGGGGGCATGCATTGGTGGCCCAGTTACAAAAGAGCAAGCTAGTTCATTTGTGTTAATCATTTATCAGTTCATGTGCTGCTGAGCAAATTCGATTGGCGCCTGATAAATTTACATCTGTTTGTAAGAGATTCAAGGACAAAGTGCTGTTGCTTGAGGAGCCCTTGCGTGGGGTAGCTCCATTGCTGATCGTTATTCGAAAGCTTCAGTCATCTATTGAACATTTAACTACTTTACATTTGAAGTTTCTTTTGCCCTATTTGCTGGCAAAGTGCTATAAAACTAGTCTTTCCATTCTAGAGGAAGATATTTTCGAGGTTGATCAATCGAGAGAGCAATTACGCAGAAAGATCGAGCAAGTGATCAAGTCACCATAATTCTTGATCACTGTCTTCACCAATTCACCCCTACCAACACCTATAGTTATCAACCATCACCACCAACACCCATAATACCACCCTAAAACCAAGTCCCAAACAGAACCCAAAATCAGTCTAATTTCAACCCCAGATACAAGTTTTGGACACTCAATTTTCATCCAACAACAAAAAACCTCCACCTGAGATCACTAGCAAACACCAAAAAGTTAACGCCATTGCCAAATTGAAAGCCACTTTTCATGTGACACCGTCACCATCGATCGGTCTAAGGCCATCACCTATTCGGTTGGGCTCCACCAGAATCGATGATCCACCAAATACTCAGCAAGAATTCGAAACACACATTAAGAATGCAAAAAACTCAAGGGAACGCAAAATCAAAAGCTGGGCAAAATCACTCCGCTACCTACAAATCTACCATAATAGAACCCAGTAGCACACGGCACACCCAACCATGGTCTTAAATTCAATCTCAACCAATAAATCAGGGAATTCACTAGCCTAACAGAAATAGCCTCACAACCTAGAAACCCAAAAGAAATCGAGTTTCATCGCTTATCTTTCACCAAAAGGTCATTCACTGCCGATAAGGAATACTAACAAGACAAAAAAAACAACAAAGCAAGGTCAGAGACAAAGAAGCAAAATTTTGGGGTTTCGTTTGCGTTTTATCTAGAAAGTTTTGGGTCTTCCCAATCGAATGAGGAAAGAGCCAAAAACAAAGGGGATAATATACCTTAGGGGTGGTGGTGACTGGACAACAAGGAAACTGAGTTTAGATCCGCCACCTTCTTAGGCAGATTTAAGCAAAGCAAAAAGGTTTTTTGAAAAATCTGTACCAAGATCCGAGATGATGAGACTGAGAAGAGTTTCACGACAAGTTTCAGAGAAACTGCTGATCAGACGTTCGTCGGTGAGTGGTCGACGACGATCGAAGATGATGGCGATTATGACATTTCGTCGAAATCTTATGGAGTTTCTAACTAACGTTCATCATTTCTTAAAGAGAGAGGCAGAGCATAAATCATGGAGAGAGAAGAAGGACCTGTTAAATGAAGAGGAAAGCTTAAAAGAAGGCTTTTATAGCTTTGATAAAATGGTGTCATTTTAGCTAAAGACAATGGGTTCCCTTTGACCCGTTTCAAGGATCCCGCGTCAGTGATCCTACCTAGTCGCTCGACCAGGTCCCTATCCCAGTCTAGCTCTGGGTCATTTGAGCTACAGGCTGAGCCGTGGCGAATTTTAAGAGCCAAGCTGTGAATTGCTTTGAGGTTGATTTTTTTTTTTTTTTTGTTAGTATGTTCATTATTTATCAATTATTTTTTTGAATGAATAAAAATGATAAATAAATAAAAAATATTTAAAAAATAAGATATTTTTGAAAAAAAATTGAAAGTATCAATTTTTTTTATATAAAATTTTTTAAAAAATATTTTTAAAAAAAATTTGAAAGTATCAATTTTTTTTCCTTAAAAATAAAATTTTCAAAAAAAGTATTTAAAAAAATAATTAAAAGTATCAATTTTTCTTAAAAATAAAAATTTCATAAAGATATTTTTAAATAAAAATTAAAGTATCAATTTTCTTAAAAATAAAAATTTCAAAATATTTCAAGAAAAAATTAAAAGTATCAATTTTCTTTATATAAAAGCACAAATTTTTAAAATAAGATAAACAAAGCAATAAAAAAGATCTCTATAAGAGGTTGAAGATTATTCCTTTCTTTTTTTCTTTTCTTGAAAATTTTTTAACGTTAAATAATTTGACAATTGAGCCTCTGCAAGAGAAACAATAATTTTTTTGTATACTCTTAATATGAGAGAATTTTTTTAATTTTTTGATAAAAGTATAATTAATTACTTGATAAAATTTTAAGGCTTATTGAATAACATAAAATCAAACTGATATCATCTTTGTATGAATATTGTGAGAGTGTTATAATCTTTCTCACAGCAATCGTACTTTTGAATTTAGTTTTGATTATGTAGATATTGAATTTATCTTTTAAAAATATCTAAGTTAAATTTAAAACTTCTCTTTAAAAAAAAATAAATTTAATCATGTGATCAATCACACATAAATAAAAAGATTGATTATGATTTTTTAAATTAATATCTAACGATAAATTCATGATTATAATAATATTTCCTTATGAATTAAAAGAAACTTCACAATTGTTAAATGACCAGAACATAAAAAACTGGAAACCTGATTTATATTTGACGAACTGTTGTTTACCAGACAAGTAAAATTTCAGACAATATTCTCTGTTCATAGTATTGTCATTCAAGATTGATTTTTCTAATTCTTCTAGGAGAGTCTACTCATTTGTTGGCTAATGACCAGCAGAATGATAGGGAAATTAATGGATTCTGCAAAGAAGGCAACAGCAGAAACCGTTAATTTTTCCCTATGGCCATGACTCTGCTCCTTTACTAATGCAGGCGCCTCCTCTTTTATTTTATTAAACACCCTGTGCTTTATTCTTCTCAGAGTGTCTTGATGTCCCCTTTACAATCGTTATTATCATATTCATAGTTTTAGGATGGAGATTCTTTCTGAGACTTAAAACTGCGGAAATTCATTACTGTTGCAGTCCAAAATCTGAATAATGAAAGAATAATCAAACACAACCGAACAAAGGAATTCGAATTGTCGTCTTGGCACCCATTGTTTTAAATGGAAAGGCCATCACATGAGCTCAGTTACAATGAACCAACTCTTTATTAAACAATAATAAAAAAAATTGTCCAGTAACTTTGCTTTCATTGGCAAAGCTCTGCCATTGCGGTTGAAGGATCAGTAGAGTAGGATATTGAGAGTGGGTAGCATCGGGTGCTCCCGTCCTGTTCGCTGTAGCCACCATTACACAACCAAGGCAAGTGACAGGCACGTGCAGATATACCTAACAATAACGTTGCACACACCATCCAGCACTAAAGTGACAGCCAACCCAGCCGTTTCTACGCACTGCCACATGGTGCCATTATGTCCCGTGAAATTGCAGGAACCAATGTCCCCTTTGTCGGTTTTTGGAAAAAAATAAAGCTACCTTAATTTGAGCAATAAGCACCTACATAAAGTATTTCAGAATTAGCAGCACAGATTAATCACTGTTTATTTACTCGTACTAATATTTCTGGTTCACATTATCATTCAAGGAACAGAGAAAAAAACACACAAGCATGCAGAGCTGGACTGAATTCAATAAGAGAACATCATCATAACAACTACACAATACACTGACAGGATTCGCTTAAATATAAGATTCCAGCATCTCTGCAACCCTCTATATACCATAACAGTAGAAGAGAGAATTTCTTGTCAAACTCCATGCATACTCTCCCTACAAATATATATTCTTCTTTCATTTCTTCTCGTTACATTATTGAACAGCTGCTGCTTGTGTTGTCATCACTGAACAACATATGGGTTGCTGCAGAGTGATCAGCATTGTAATTGGGGGCTTCAAGGAACGAGTATGGAGGAGAATTATTATAATTATAGTAGTACCCAGTGGTAGGAGGAATTAATGGGGATCTATGATACATCATCTGGGGTTGTTGCTGCATGGTATGCCTGTTCTGCACGTTCATCATTGATGATGGATAGTTGTAGCCATTCATGTTCATAAGCATAGATGATGGATATTGACAGGTAGCATATCCACCGTTTGGAAACCTTGCTGCAGTAGATCCCTGCAATCCATTGCTGGATTGAACTTGAAATCCTCCAACAGCATTGGGATTGCCTCCAAAAGCAGCAGCATTAGCAGCGTTAGCACCATTTCCATGAAAACCTGAAAGACCCATTATGGAGTTGGTGTCATTTCCCTTCTTGCCCTCTGCTGCCGCATTGATGTTTAAACCACCCAACTGAGCATTATTCATCTTCAGGGCTGCCAAGGTTTTCTGATCAAGAAAACCTGGATTAACCGTCATTCCCATATTTTGATTAGGGTTTCCTTTCTTTCCAGCATTCCCATTTATGAGATTGCTGTTCATTTTATTATTATTGCTGGAAGCTGCAGTAACGTTTCCAACACCTTTCTTGGCGTTATTTGCATCAAGAACTTGTTGCCTTAGCAAACCCAGCTGACTCAGTTGACTTGGTTTGAGAAATTGCAGCTCATCCTCTTCATCATCTTCATCATAATCATCCACATAATCACCAGTATCCTCAGAAATGAAACTAGGAAACTTCTGCCGGTTCTTCAAGGCTTCAAGGCCTTTGATCAAGTCTTGTTTTTGGCCTTTGTTGTTGTTCTTCTCATCTTTGATGCAGTTGTTCTGCTTTTGGTTTTGGTTATGGTTGGACTTCTGGGGCCAAACCTCAGCGTGTTTACCAGCTCTGATCAGTTTCTTGATCAATGTTGCAGAGTCTACACTTCCTAAGACTGTGACTTTCTGCTGCTCTGCATCCATGCTTACTTGTAAAACACCTGGAAAAAAAAAAAAGAAGAAAACAACAAACAGAAAATTACAGAAACAGATAGACATGCACATGACACCAATTATTAGAACCAATGAGTTGGAAATTTTCACAGCATTGTGTCCCAGTCATCCGGAACAGTACAAATATCTATCCTAGTGATCTCTAATTTAAGAAAATTCATCTTAGACTAATCACTTCTTACTGATTGAGATCACAAGTCATTTTATCCCATACTGATTGAGATCTTACAAATGTTCATAACATACTTCCTTCGGTCCTTCTCTTATCCAAAACACATAAACTAACCGCAAAATCCACAAATGGAAGAACTTCCGCGAAAAGCAAGCATTGTTCTTATCTCTTTCAGCCTACTGAGAAGCACAGTGAGAAAGCTTCCTGATCGTCTAAATTTATGGTAATAGTTTTCCTATGTCATAAAAACGCCACAAGAGTTGCAAGAAAAGGAATGAGACTCGAACTATGAACAAACCATACGATTATTTTACTCTACTTAGTTGTCTTGAGATCACCGTTTTGAACTACGGGCAGAGCATTAATGATTCTTTTGGCCTCTTACTCATTTTCTCAGCAAACAAGGAAAAAAAAAACAGTTGAAAGAAAAACATGGTTACAAACAAGAGATAAGAGAGGAGGGAGAGCAGTCCACAATAAGTCAACAAAAAGAACAAAAACAGTCACATGAAAAAGCTGATGAGAAAAGTGAATGGAGCACCTTCAATTCTCTGAAGGAGTTTCTTCACCTTCTGCTTACATCCATCACAGTGTATGCTCACTTTGAGAACACAAGTCTGGATAAAAAAAGAAAAGAAAAGAAAAGATTCTTTAGAATAAAAGACCACCATCATCCACCTTAGCTGTACATATAGATAAAAAAAATTATAAAAAAAAGGGCAGGAAGAATGTGGGTAAAAGGGAAAGACCTGAATCTTGAGTAGCTTAAAGTCTTCTTCTTTAGTCATTTCCTCACCTCTGTTTTGAAGGATAAAACTTGCCGTCTCTGAGAAACACAGGGATAAAAAAATTTAAAAAGATGAGGCACCAAAGCTAGTGTGGAGTTAAACAGGGTTCCATGTGAGTTTCTAGTTGTACATCTACATAAACAGGGTTGCTTCCTTCTTCTCTTCTTCAGTTCCAGGCCTTACGCCGACTGCACCACAAGAGGCCAAGACAAAAGGAGAAAAGCAGAAGTAATAAATGAAAGTCAGAGGAAGGAAAAGAGTGAAATCAAATATGGGATAGAAAAGGGCGGAGAGAGGACAGCGTGGGTGGTGGGGATCTATAGCCTATTGGTCTACACTGACTTCTGTTTAAAATTCTGAACTGATGTGATTAAACGTTAAATACAGAGGAGACACAAATAAAAAAGGAACAGCGACTTGACAAGCCGACTTATATCCCTGTACCAATTGTCACATCTTGCCTTTTTCTTTTTTATTTAATTATTTCTCTTTAAAATTATAATACAAATTTTGGTGATTAATCAATGTTTTGGTTTTGTCGGGGGTGAACTGGAATTCTGGATCAATTTGCTTTCAAAATTTCAAAACGATTTTTAAGCAATATTTTGAACGGAGGCAGCATTCCTATGTAAGAATGGTATCGGATCGGGTTCGGAACAGATTTTATTTACTTCAAATTTGATTTGATTTTATATTTTATTAAATTTGATTCGAATTTTAATTCGATTTAAATTTTTTTTAATATTCGAATTCGATTCAATCCGACAATATATAAATCGTATCTGATTCGATTCGACCTAAAATTAATAAAATATTATTTTTTAAAAATATAAAATATTATTTTTAAAATATAAATATTTAAAAATATCATTATATAAATATAAATAATTAATTAATTAATTAAAAATAATTTTTTAATAATATCAAGTCGGAATAAAATCAAATTTTAAGCATATCCCAACTCGATTCGATTTCAATTGTTATCTAATTTTACTCGATTCAATCTTGACCTGAAACTTAAAATTAAAAAAAATATTCGACTTTATAAAATCGAATCAAATCGAAATCTATCGAGGATGGACGTCCTATTCCCAGATTCCCAGCACTGAGTAACACTCAGACTCGTGAGTTCATTGCTTTTTTGAAGGGCCGTGTATTAATTGTATTATAATTAATTAATATTTAATATTAAAATTATATAAAATTTATATTTATTTGTAATTATTATTGAATAAATTTATAAATTAAATACTCTCATTTATTGGAGGTTGGGACCAACGGGCTCATCTAACTCTGGTGGGACTCGAGAGATTGATTGATTGTCACACTAATAACTTGTTGGTTGGCTGACCCGACTTGGATTAATTCTTTCAAATATTATCGTACCTCTTCCCCCGAACCTTTGTTAATTTTCTGAGGGCTCAATTGGAAGTCATTGAAGCGGTGGGACTGTCACTTTTTTTTTATCTTAATCACATTATTAATTTGTTTGACTCTTTGTCAGTGTAGTGTAGTGAGATTGAAAATTTTATTGATTCGCATCTTTAATTGGTAATTAAGGAGGGAGCCTTTCAGTGACCAATTAGGAGTGTTCTTTCTTATTTTTATTTTAATTGCTTTATTTATTAGTATATTTATTTTTTTATTTTTTAATCTAAGTAAACATAAAATGAAAATTTTAAATTTAATATAAAAATAAATTTTATAAAATAATAAAATAATAAAATTTATTATTATATTAAGAATTAAAAATATTATTTTATAAATTAAAATTTGTATTATATATAAATTTTAATATAATATTTTTAATAATAAATTTTTTTATTCTATTTATTTCATTATTATCGTTATTTTTACATTCAAATATATATTTTATTATTAATTTTAATTTTAAAATTATAATATTTAATCTTCTTATTAGAATAATTAATTTTATCTTAATTACTGTTTTTAATCTCATCATAATTAATTTTATTATCCACTCAAATGAATCCTATAAAATTTTTTTTTATGTGTAATATACAATTTTGCATAGATATATTTGTAGATTGGATTGGACCAAGCCAAGTTTTGATTGTCATTTTTTTTAATTTTGTTTAAGATTTGATTTATTTATAAAAATTTATTTAAATTGGTTATTATTTAAAATATTTAAAATAATTTTATATTAAAATTTTAATATATTAAAATTTATTAAAAATAAATTTAAATAAAAATCAATTTTAATTGAATTGATCTTGAATTTAAAAACTTCATCCAAGACCCAACTCAAGTTGAGTTAGATTAAAGAACCTGACAGATAATTCTGCCTATCAATCAAAAAACTTTTACATTGAAATAAATATTTCAACGATTAAATTTTAAGATTTTATTTGAAAATTTTGATTTTAAACTTTGAAATCCAAATGAAATTGATGAAATAAGAAAAACTCCCTTAGCTCAATCATATCATGTATTAAAAAAATTGGTAATACCCGTTTAATCTTATTATTACATCAGCTTCTGTGAAAATTGATATTTTTAGTGTAGCAGTGAGATTGTTTGAAGAAAAAAAAAAATACTTTAAAGGGGAAAAGTAAATGAAATAAGAAAAATCACAAAGGTCATTTGTTAGGGGTAATTTTTTGGTTCATAAGGTAAATTAATTTTTCTTTAAAATTTTTGAATTGATTTAATATAATCATATATATACAATATTACATCATTTCCATTACTTTATTATTTTGTTTTATAATTTTTTATTTTTTATTTATAAATAAAATTATTCAAAAATTATTAATCTAATCACTTTTTTTTTTATGATTCCAAAATTCTGATCTTCAATTCAAAATTCGATACCAATATCATTCTTGCAATTTGCAAAGGAGAGAAAAAAAAAATATATATATATATATATAGTTGATTAGAATGGGATTGAAACAAAGCAAACCAAAAAGAAAGAAAAAGGTTAGACGTTTATTAACCTTTTATGTTTCACAATTTCCAATCATACATCATCTTATTTTTAACCTTTTTGGTGTTTTGAACAACACAACCAAACCAACCATCAAGCATTCAACCATGGCAGCAGCCAGTTGTGTGGGTTTTGAGTCTGTGGACTTTTGGGTCTCCTCGTGTCTTACGGAGCTTTTGTTTTTGGTATTTTTTTTTTTTGGGTTTCCCAAAGGCTAAACGCAAGTAACAGTACGCAATCACACACAGGTCAAAAAAGAAAGCAGCGAAAAAAAAAAAATCAGAAATAAGTAGAGAGGCTGGTTGGTGGGGGGCCTGGGACTAGCCTGGGTTAAGTGTGTGTGACTGTGTGTTGGCTCCATCATGACTTGCTGCCCACACCTGCATGTTTCACTGGCATGCTGTCCCAAAACCCGAAAGCTCTCAAACCCTTTTTTTTATTAGTATAATACATATTTTTACTGACCGCCTTCCTCTGGTGTGCCTTTACTTTGCTTCTTTATCAATCCATTGATTTTTATTCTCACGAATTTTACCATAACTGCCACTAACTTTTATCCAACAGTTGCAGTTCCCCAAAAAGAGGTAAAAAAAAATCCTCTGAGATCAGCATCTGAGGCAAAATTTTAAGGGAGGTGGGTGGGGGCGTAGGCCGTAGGTTGAAGTACAGTCTGATTAGAGGAGTGGGATAGATGTGATCATGAAAAAATCTGGGATTGGTTGGGGGGGTCCACTGTTTTGGGATCCCATGCGCCAGAGGCAGAGTCATGATATATCTAATCTTTTGTCCTGGACCCACGATTGATCTTCTTTTGGATGCCTACTAATGTGAGTGAGGGAGAGCCTCATTGGGCTGTGACTGTCATCAGTTCTCTACATCACTTCAGTTACAAATATTCTTCGGTTTCGATTAAAAGGCCCATTTTGATAGGTGAGTATCAGTTCACAGATTGATAAAAATTGAATAAAATATAGTATAATTTGGTGAACGGTGAAAGTTTAAAATTTGACGATAAATAAAATTATATTAAATAATATTATATTATTTTTTATTTAATATATATATAAAGATTAGAATTTAATAATTTATTATTAATCAAAATTATTTTTTTAAAATTTATAAATTTAAATTATTGATATAATTTTTAAATATATAATAAAATAATAAATTTAATGTTATAAATTAAAAATATATTTTTATTTTGAGATGATTGAATTGTTTTATATCAAAAAAATAATTTTTTTTTGTAATTTTATCTCTTCATTTAAAAAAAATAAAATATAATATAAAATAATTATTATTTTATTTTATTTACCACATCAAACATAATTTAAGTATAAAAATATATAGTATTTTTAATTATTTACGCTTATGTTACTCTAATAAATATAAAGTTGAAATATCTCAAATTATGTAAAGAAGAATGGGCTATCATTTTTTGGAATGACTATTCTGGTTAGCGTAGGTCCAAAATCTGGATATTCTTAAACCCAAATGTATTGGATTGCAAGGCTTTTAGATTGTAATTAGTGGCCCACGTGGCTCATGGGTCTGCTTCAACTCTTTCTCAGAGCAACATAAATTACTGCTGCTGCCCAATAAAAATATGATTGATCATTAAAATACTAACAATACAATCTCACCTAACCAGATTAGGATTTCTTTCTAATCCTGATAATCTTAAGGCTTAAAGACATGAATACATGATCAAAACTTGATTAATATAAGGCTAACGGATGTTGGCTTAAGTGACAAGAAAATTTACTCTTCTCTTAGCTGCCTCAAATTTGAATTTATGATTTCATAAATTTCAACGAAAATAAACTTGTTTAAACCAACTCGAGACGAAAATATAAAGAGCGAAACCTAAAACCTCTTATGCTAAAAAAACTTGATTAGTAACACTAATTCCATATTGTCCATTAAATTATTTGCTTTATATTGGTGACAAAAATATAGGTACTGCCTTTTCCCTGTTAGAGACATTGTCTGTGTTGGCTTGCATTAGTGAACATGTATGTATCACACTTTTAAATTATTTAGAGATAGAAAATGAAGTACTGACAATTACAGGAGGCCTATCTCCTCATTCATTGTTATTTAAAATGTCATTTGAGTGTTTGTAAGTATAATTAACTTAAGATGATATTTATTAAAAAAATTTTATTTAATGTATTATTTCTTCTTAAATTTAATAAAAACAATATATTAAATGGAACACCAAGAAGTATTCTTCCACTTTAATGAACTCAAGAGAGAAAGAACGATGGTTTAGAGAGAGAGAGAGTCATTATATCATAATCTTTTTCGGAAAAGTTGTTAGATAAAGTTTGTAAAAATTTTTTTAAAAATAATTTAATAAAAACTCAAACGGATGGATTAATAAAATTTAATGTGAAGATCAATAATTTGTAAAAAAAATTATTAAAAAAATTATTTATAATTTAAATTTAATCGATATTTATTCAAAAGTAAAAATTTTATCGATATTTTTATTAAAAATATTTATTTAAAAATATATATCAAAATTTATTAAAATTTTTTCAAATTTTACATATTTAATTTATGTAATGAAACTTTTTAATCTATCGATTTTAATTTTTAATTTTTATTTAATTAAAATCTTTATGAATCTTATCTAAAAAATTTCATACAAAACTTTCCCATCATCCTCTCCCTTCTGCAATAATTAATTGGAGTATTAGGTTAATGTAACAGCAAAAAGTATTCATATAAATATGTACATACATACATACATACAGAGAAAATTGTGTCCTTTCCTTCAGCTGCATGCATGGCTTTATAGTTGCTCTCATGCATCGAAATCGGCTACATGATTGAACATGCATTTGGGTTTTCGTCGCTAAAGAGAGTAACAAACTTCTCATCAACTGCATTTGGACTAGGCAACGCTTGCACTGCGTCTTTAACATAGCCTGATGGAGCCTTCTTGTCATAGGCTTGAGCAACGTAAGGGTATGCCACTAAGTTGTAACGGACATAGGGCCAAAACTCAGCTCTCTTCCCTGTGCTCTTCACTTTCTTTAACACTTTGTTTGGCTCAACATATCCTGACACGCTCACCCGGCTTTGCTTTCTGTTCACATCAACTGATTTCACACCTAAACAAGATAGAAAAAAAAAAACATATATATGACTAATTCATGGAATTTACGTGGAAAAAAAATATAAAAAGTGGCAAGAAGCAAATTGGGGTAAAGTTTTAAATAAGTTATGACAAGGACAGAATATTTACAACGTGAAAGGAGTAGATGATGTAGGTGGGGGTTAAGAGTCTGTTTGGTTTGTAGGAATTAGCATTTATTATGGTACTCCAATCTTTAAGAGCTTTTAATGTTTCCAAAGGGAAAATAGAAAGATATTATTTCCAAGTTCCAACTGCTACATGTTTGTTTCAAGAGAAACTTGTTTGCTCTTATCCTCCTTTAAAGTGATTTATACATACAGACGAGCTTCCCTTGCTATACCAAAGCAGTCTAAACTGTGAATTTACTAATGGAAGTTAAAAAAAAAAAAAAAGGAGCTAGAAATTATTGCAATCTCTGTTTTTCTCTGTTGGAAATTTATGGTTTTAAGACTTTGCAGTACGGGAAGAGAACCATAAATACAGCTATCGTGTTTCTTCCAGTTTTTAATACGAGAAAGCTCTCAGAGAATAAGGTATAACTGCAGAAGATAATTAAAGAGCTTCAAAAGGCTGCAATGAACCGTCATGATTCAGTAGGCTTTGATGGATTATTATAGCTAACAGGCTTTGTTTCATTTTAGCCTGGTTGGCTGAAGGGCTTTCCGCCATGAATCGGGATTATTCATGACTAACACCAAAAATAAATAAATAAATAAATAAACTAAGTAAAGAAAGACAGAAGATTGAGAGAGAGCTTTAAATTGCACCTTTCATGGAGGACACAGCGTTTTTGACTCTCCTTTCACAACCATCACAGTCCATTTTAACCTTGATCTCAACATTCTGTGTAGACAACAATGAAGAACTCAACATTCAGTTTTAACATGCCGAAGAAAAATCATTAACTACCAACACCAAAATAGTAAAAGAAAGCACTTAACACAGTTGACAGAGCAAAGAATAACGTATAATCAGAAGCCAAAAAAGAAAGAGAAAATACTGGAATTGAGAAGTACGACCTGCATTACTTTACGCTTCTTCCTTTTGGTATGAACAGAGATTAAATCAGAAATATAGTCAGAAAGAGAGTCTAAAGCACCCATTTTTTTGTTTCCCTTGTTCTCTTCAACTAGTTATGCAAAGCAAAAGAAAGACTTTGGGGTTGTATTTATAGGAGGTAAAGTAAATGATGGTGGGGAAATGGGGAATAAGACTTAACAAGAGAATAGTATTATTGTAGAACAAGTACTTTTGCTTGGAATTTTAATATAATAAATTAAGATAATGAGTTGGTTTCTTAATTATGTCAAATTTTCTAAAATATCATGCAACGAGGAATTGAATTACAATTACGTTTTATGATTAAATTCTTCATAATCCAATAATAAAATGACATCACAACATAATTAAAGTTTCTTTTGTTATATTATCAAATGAACCCTAAATTTCATTTTCACTCCTGAACCAAGGAATCTTAGGAAATTGTTTGCATAATAACTTGGTCAAATATTTAGGTTATTGAAACTTAAATGTTGAAAACGATGAGAGTTGGATTTCATTGCTTGCAATAAAATTCAAGCATAGTGATACATCTTTTTTCACGGTTAATAACGTTACAATCATTGAGACTTTTTTTGAAGCCCAAAATGTGACAGATCACGTGATGGTGAGTGTCAATAGGGCAATCTTCCAAAACGAAACTGTGTTATTGTGATTTGTTATTATTATTATTATTATTTTTGGAGGAATTGCTGCCATCGTTGTTGATGGAGATATATAGCTAGCTGGTTTTCACACATAAAAACTTGGAAAAGGGCATCAATTATTTAAGCATATGGAGCCTAAACAAGCAATGACAACTTTGTCATTTGGGCTAAATTTGAATGTGGAAAATGATCAATTAATGAAATGGGGTCTATTATTCAAGAATTTTAGGTGAAACAACTAGAAGAAAGGAACCTTTCCATAATTCTATCTTATGTAAAGTCTTCTTCCCTATATGTAAGGCAAACATCCAGCCATCCACTCGAGGATGATTTTCGTTGTTTATAATGCTTCCCTCCCCCATAATTATTCCATTTCATTTTCTATTTATTATGCATGTTAATTGGTTGAGTATGTAGATAACTGTTCAAACTTCAAACCACAAGAAATGGAACTCTAGAATTAATAAATGAATATATATATATATATATATATATAAGTTACAGCTTAAAAATTGGTTTTTGTATAGCCTTTTCCATGTGAAAAGGACGTGCATGTAAGCATGAACCACCCCATACATGATAGGTTGAAAACCCGAGTATCGACAGTTTCAAGTAGCATTGCGTGGGTCACAGCTGAAAGCTGCCATGTCCCCTCCTATTTCTACCTACACCTTGTAGTTTATCAGGATGATCCCGTTGGGTCCTATTCTAAAACTATCTTTTCCACACTTATGTACAAATTATGGTAGAAAATTATATATATATATATTTGTTTGTTTTTATCTATTTTTTTCAAAAGTTATAACTTTATTTATTCAAAGTCAGTAGAATTTTGCTGCAATGCAACAATCCAACAATCTTTACAAGGTATCAATGGATATCAGTTCTTATAGCAACTTATTCTAAAATAGAAATATTAAGGTTCCAAGCATCACATAGTTCTTTATTAATTATGTTTGCAGCAATCTGATAATTAACTCATGTAATCGGTTCTTGAGAGTGTCCTTAATTCGATCAATCACCTGTATTGTTGTTTCTGCCATATGCTTAAATAGCCAACAATTCGTTTCCTTCCATATCTGATAAATACAAGTATTTCAAGCTATGCACAGTATGTTTTGATCTAATCTTATTTCTTGTAGAGGTATACATTTGATTATGAAAAGTCATGAAATTACTTGGCAAAGAGTTAAACTTAAATTACAAAGTGCTGCCAAGTGCCAAGATTGAAATAGAAAACCTTTAGGTCACGCAAATTGCAGGAGATGATTCAAGAATCATGATCATATAGAAAGACAATGCCAACTTGGCGGAGTTGGTTGAAGTTTTGGTAAACGTCTTAATTTCTTCATATCATTCTGCTTCTTCTGCTGCGGATTGTAAAAACTATGGTCACAAGTAAATGTGCAAAATAATAATAAATAGTGGTTCTCAATTTCAAGTAATTCAGGACTCAACAAAAAGATCAACTTTAAATCACACAAGAAACCTTCACTGATATGCTCATTTGCTAATTTATGAATTATGATGATATCACTTTTTTTTTTTCTGAATATTATATTTCCATCAAGGTTGCCCAATATCAAGTGCAAGTTCCAAAATCATATTTAATTTGTTAAAATAACAAAAAATTCCTTTAATTGGTAAATTCCTATATTTTTATTACATCCAAACATATTCTAATTTTTAATTTGCATTTAAATAAATCTCTAACCTTTAATTTATGTCCAAATAAATTCTTAACTTTTAATTTGTATTTAAATAAACTCTTAATGTAAATTAATCTTTTGTTCGAAATAAAAATTTATTTAAATACAATAAAAGTATAAGAACTTATTTAAGAAAAATAGAATAAGGTTTTTTTTTTTTTTTTTTAGTATTTTAGCCTATTTATTATAAGAAATTGATCTCTTGTAATAGGTATTTATATTAAAAACAATTTGTTTTGGATTGTTTGGTTGACACGTGATAAATTTTTTCCTACAAACTCATAAATTTGGTCATAAGATTGGAGTAAAATACAGCTAGCAACGGCAAAACCAAATTTGGAGACTATGTTAATTAAGCCTGTCACGTTTGCAAACCTTGCCGACCTGGCGTCACTAGGCTGTGAGATAGGTTAGGATGTTTATATGATTAAAATATATACAAATAATTAAACATGTAAATCATGAACAATAATTCAGCTAGGAACTACAATTTGGAGGATTCAAAGCAGGTGTTTCCCTTATATAAGTTTTATATATATAGCAAAATTATTGTTAATGTTTTTGTTAATAAAGTAGGCAAAACTAATCTAAATTCGAAAGATTAAAACAAACTCAAATTTGATCCCGATCAATTTAATTTGTTAAAAAAATTAATAATTTAAGTTTAAATTAACTTAATATCAAAATCCAACTCGGGTTCATTTTGATTTGAATTTGAAATTATTCCAACTCAAAATAATTTAAAATATATGAAAACTAAGAAATCAATTCGAAATTATTGAACTTAAATTAAGTCTAATATTATTTTTGAAAAATATCAATTTAATTAAATCCAACTCTTATAGTCTACCACAAGTATTACAAGAAGATTAGTATTTAGGTTTTAGCATATGCCATTTGACCTGTTTTCAAATTCGCAGTGGAGCCAGATTTTTTACAAAGGAAAAACAAAGAAAGATTTGCAGTAAAAGAAGCCATATTCTTTACTTTTAGGCCGGTAAAGCTGCCATGTTTTTGTTTTCATTTCGGTCCAATGTTCATCACAAATGACATATTCGATAATTTAATCATGAGACGATGATATAATATGAACACGATATAAAAATAAGATATAAAAATAATACATCTTAAAATTATAATAATAATTATATATAAATTTAATAAAATAAAAAAATTATATTTCATATTTTTATATCAACATAAATTATAACACAATTTTTATCTAAAATTAGATATGAATATTGAATAACCTAATCTACAAAATAATTAACTAAGCCACCAAGAGAATGTCTTTCAACGCTCAAGCCTATCCGTTTTGAGAGGTCCAAGACCAGTAACAAGTTTCTCAAAAATAGTCCAAACATGTCCAAGTTAGGGTTGCAAGCCAGTTGGCCCATCAAATTTCTTGAGCACCCCATCACACAACAAGCTACATGATACTGAATACCCTTTCTTTTTTATTTTTTTGTTTTTTTTTTTTGTTATTATTTGGACAAGTTACTCGCTTGATTGAGAAAAAGAGGCAATCCAACCGCCTTTCTACTTCGTCCATTTCTCCATTTGTGTGTGTCATCCTTGTGCAGGGGCCATGCTAATCTCCTTGCTCACTATGAACCCTTTATCTGTATTTCCCAAGTAAGCCAAACAAAGAGGGGAATATGCACACTTCTAACGTTGCACACAAGATATAGTTTAGTCATATTAGTTCAATTATGAGTAAAGTTAAACAATATCAATCTTTTTCATTCTTAAAAGCTCATAAATAGACATACAGACTAATAGAATGAAATATCTAAAGGAAATAGTGAAGGGTTATAATGTAAAGCAAAAAAAAGGACGAAAACCAAGGATGGTGGATATAGTAGCCTACAAAGAGCCAAATCTCACCCCATTGGAAGAATTCAATATTGAAGAGGCAACAGGGAAGTGGCACATAAGACAATACTCTGTCTTCCCAGTTATTGCTGCCCCTCTAATTGATTCCAAATCTACAGTTTTGAAACTGCAAAAATTTTCATAATGTAAATAGCCAAGGTAAGGATAAAAGAAATTGCCATAAAGTCACACATCCTGATTCATGTTATGTCTATCAGATATCAAATAGAGGGTCTAGATACTGTCATTCGGTAAAGGTGGTGACAGTGGCGGGATCTCATATGAGCCTGAAGAGCACCATCAGACAGCCTACATTCTCTCTCACTATTAGCCTCCACCAACAACTAAAGGAATTTTCCTCAGTTTGTCAATCTTCCGAGCCAAATCTAAAGCCGTATCTTTCTTCCCCTCATCAAGTAGAGCCTGTTTCAGATTACTAAACATATTGGCTGGAGGTCGAATACCTGCATCCAACATTTCCTGAAAATACTTGCAAGCATCATCTAACCTGTTCTCGTGACACAAGCTGTTAATCAAATCAGAGAACATATGCATTCCCGGAAGCACTCCCTTGGCCTTCATCTGACCCCAAACCTGCGTTGCCATATCCACTCGCTCCTCATTGCAAAACATCCTTGCTATAATTTCATAAGTACTCACAGTAGGCTCACAGCCCGGCTCACTGGACATTTTCTGGAAAACTAAGTAAGCATCATTTGTCCTTCGAGCCTTTATCAAGTGATGAAGAATTATATCATAAGTTCTTGAATTTGGACCGACAGAATTTTTTCTCATCTCATCAACCACCCGGAATGCATCATTCACTTGCATTGACCAACAATAAGCCCCTACAAGAGAATTATAAGTAGGTGCTTCAGGAGCAAAACCATAACTCTTGGAACGTTCAAAAAACTGACGAGCTTCACTTAACCTCTTGTCAGAGCCCAACCCATTAATCAAAGTGCAAAAAATATGAGGACTGGGCTTACAATTCTTTGTCTCCATCTCATGAAACAACTCAATCGCTGCATCATACTTCTTTGCCCTACAATACGCACTGATCAAAATACCATAAGTTACAACATCTGGCTCGAAACCCTCATCTTTCATCTCTCGATAAACCTCATTTAACCTCAACAAGTTGTGTTCTTTTCCCCATCCTTCCAACAAAATGGTGTAGGACTTAATGTCAGGGACAAACCTTCTCCTTTTCATTTTATCGAACACTTTGTTTGCTTTCTCAACGTTTCTAGACTTAGACAAAGTATCAATCAATCTATTAAAATCCGATGTTTCAAGCTTGAAACCATATTCCTCCATCCTCTCAAAAGCCTCTATAGCCTCTTCAACCTTCCGGGCTCTTGCGTACCGCCGCGAAATCAATGCAAAAGTATCTTTGTTTAACAATTTTCTACTCTTCATGTCATTCACCAAATTCCATATCAATTTGAACTGCTTAATCTTACCCAAAGCTTCAATCAGCGCATTGTAGCTTTCGGTATTATATTTAAACCCTTTTTGCTTCTCTGCCCATGTAAAAAATGACATTGCAATGACACCCGCATTGCTTAGCCTCTTCAAAACCTCTACAACAAGTGAAGGGGACACTTCAATTGAAGCGTATTCGAGCAATTCATCGACACGAGAATCAGAGTGGTTCGAGAGGAGTATGCAAATTTTGGCAGCGTCTTGTTCGAGTTTGGCTTCTGCTGGGTTCTTTTCATACGGCTCAACAGACAATTTTTTCGGCGATAAATCCTCGTGGATCGATCTGTAGATGATGCGATAAAGAGTTGGTGGATACCCAAACCAGGTTTTGTGCCCTGGAAGCGAGTTGAGCTTGAAATTTTGATGTTTGATGGATTTCTGAGAGTGAGTGGCAAGTGATCTTATGCAAAGAACTGGAAGATTGCGTTTTCTCGGGGTTTTTGACAACAAGTTCAGAAATCGAAGTAGACCCATTTTGATTTTTGAGATAAATCCAGAAATTTTCTTTTCCTAGTTTTCACCATGCATCGTTTGATTTTGTTGTTCCCAGAGGCGTTGCAGTAGAAGATTTATACGTGCCTCGTCTGCCTGGGGAATTCTATTTACCCCTATTTTTACTTTATACACCTCACGATTATATACATTCTAAATTTAAATTTTTTATTTCCATTAAATATACCTCATCTTTCCACATTTTTTTCTTCTTATTTCTTCAATCTCAAACCAATTAATCCCAAATTGCGTATATTTTTTTAGTCTTCCATTGATAAAGAGTAACATTTCAAAATTTATTTCGTTTGATTTTTTTAAATGCATATGAAAATATATTAAGATTTATAAAATAAATTTTATATAATTTGAATTTTTCGAAAATAAATTTTCAAAAAATCTTTGAAGTTTTCAAAAATACATTTATGAAAAGTTTTAAAAGCTTTCGGAATCAATTTTTGTTTATGAGAAAACTTTGAGATTATCAAAAATTCATTTCTAAGAAGTTTTTAAAATTATCGAAAATTTAATTTCAAAAGACTTCATTTTCAAAAATATAATATAAATTTCAAAAATTGATTTTCGAAAATATATTATAATTTTTAAAAAATAGATTCCCAAAAACATAAAAAACCAAAATTCGATTGGGTATAAGAGAAAGAAGGATGAAAGAGAAGAAGAAGGAAGAAAAAAGAAAGATGAAAAAGATGAAAAAATTATAATTTATTAAAAGATAAATTTGATATTTGTTATGTGAGTATTTTTGAAGGAAACTTGATATGGTGTAAAGAAAATTTTGGATAGCATATTTGACAGCTCCTGTCTACATGGATAGTTAATTTGTTGATGTGTTTATTTAATAAAAATTTAAAAATTATCGTATTATAATTTGATAAAAAAATTATTGTATTATAATTCAAGTGAAAACAACAAACTCAAAATATTTTTTATTAAATTCATATTTTAATTCATGTTTGTATATGCTTCAAATTAATTAGTCTAATCAGATTCTAAAAGGATTGTATAACGAGTTAATGACCACACCACTGACTTCCTTAATATGCCTATATGTTGCAAATTCTTTAGCATATTCTTCCTCTATATAGAAAAGAAATCAAGTTCTCTCAGGATTCATTATGCGAGAAAAAGGTCGAGGGATGAACATAGCTAAGCAAAAGAAGAGATTTTCTCAGCCTGTTTTCTTACAATTTCTTGCTATAAAATCGTCCTATTGCTGGTATGCACGAGATGGAACTATGATAACAATACAACAGATTTTAATGAATGAATGCTTCCAACATCAACGTGCCAAATGAAAGGTGGGTTAGAACAAACAACAGCAAGCAAATGGCAATCCTCTGAATCATTGTAGACTTCTGGGTGGCTTGACCATTAAATACTAACCCTGAAGCCAACAACGCAGAGCAAAACCTTAAGTGAATTCACTTGTTCCACCTCAATTCTCGCATCTCATACAAAAAAATATGGTAGCATGTGATAAGACGAAACCCCAAAAAATAGGCAGACAGACCAAAGAATATATCTCATCTGATGGTGCTCTTTTGAATCTTTCATGAAATTTAGATGCAAGGGCAACTGAGCCTCTGAAATATTCACCTCTTAGTACCCCTTCATGTGCATTGATTAGACTGTGAATTCCAGTCATCAAGAAGATTCGTTATAGTTTCCTCAAACTTCTTTGCCTGAGGACCAGGCTTCAAGACATTTACATCACCCCATTGTGAGCAGGGATCCATCAACCAGCTCTTCCGGCCAGTGCACCATGCTCCTGGGGCAGCTTGGTATCGCCCACGCTTGAGGATTTTTTCATCAACCATGTCCAACACGGGATCATTTTTTCTAAACTGCCTTGCAAATGCTGCTCCACTTTGAGCCATTTGATCATAATCGGAAATGTTTAGAAAGTGGGGATCCATCTTTGGAGGACTGTCCCAGATCATATATCTTAAATCACTGTTTACAGTAGTATTCTTGAACTCCAGTGAATTGCAAATGACAGAATGGAAATAGCTTTCTTCAGATAACATAACATTGTTGAAATACATCAGAAGGGTTCGGGGAAGATTATCCCACCCAAAAAGGCAAAATTCCAGAAAGGATCTACTTAAGACAACCCATGGGGAACCTGCAATGCAATACCAGACTGTAATGAGTGTAGTCTCTCCAGAGAAAAAAGTCATAAATAAATTTTTATGAATAGCAATGGACATTGAAAATATCGATCATAGACTTTGCCTGTGAATATTTTAAAAGCATCAGGCATTTGACGTTTCTCTGTCGCATGAAAGATTTGGGTCCTCCTAGCTAGGTAAAGCCCGGGATCAACTACAATAGGCTGGATCCGTTGACCTCTGCATAAAAAAATTGAACCAATATGATTTACATTTTACAACTGTACAGCAAAAGAATCTATACATTTCATGAAAAGGGTTTGCCTACTCTTTCCACCCAAGATCACTAGTATGATCAATGAAATTGAGGTCCCTCCTAACAGAGGAGAACACGTGGGACAAATCTGAAATATGAAATAAAACAAAAAAAAAAGTTAGTACAATTACGAAGAACAGCATGGTGATACAACAGAAGAACAAGTGAAATTACAAAGTAACATGATGAGGGAAAAAGAGGTATAGGGCAAGCAGGAGAAAAACCTGCCATCGAAATCTCAAAGACGAAATGCAGGACAATAAAAAGGGCATCTGAGATTTTATCCAATATGACATCAAAGTTTGGCACCAATGACCCATGGATTGGTTGGCACCTTTCCTCTAAAAGTATTTTAAGTTTTGAGCTTGAGAGAATAAAATAAAGGGAGGGCTATTGGATACAGGGCTTTATAGCCTAGTTGCATCAAGAACTAATTTTAGAATTTTCCATTACATTCTGTCTAAAGCTTCTCTGTAACAGAAAACCAATTCACATTTCTCTATATATCCTATCAACAATGAAGTAGCAATAAGCAAAAAGTATTTCAGAAGTTTAAATCAATATTCAAATATTGGTTTCAACATGATTATTTATAAGCATTAGGAAAAATCAAAATTTAAGCCAAAAGTGGTAGATGGTATCATAAATAACTGTATTCATAGACCTGAGTCACCTATTTGCAAAAGTTTTACTTTGTCCAGACTCTGCATCCAAGCATAATAAAATAAGTAAAGAACACCATAGATTTATAACAGTTTCAGCTCCACAAATGAATATATCTTCATTACAAGAATTCTTCTGACCAAAGTAACAAAGGATAGTAAGCCCCTTTCTTTCCCTCTAACTACTAAACCTAGTAATACTTAAAAACCAACCAATTGGTCATAGTTCAGACAGCTGCAGAAGCTTTATTCCATCCTTTTTTATTATTTCCTTTTGTAAAGATAATATTCAGTTTTCTTTAAGAAAATGTTAACTTTTTTTTATCCTGAAGTAGGCCATTAATGAAAACAGATACAATCTATCACTAGAAAGGTTTCTGTAAAAAGAAAAGATATCACTTGTTTCTAGCCAGTAAAGCAAATGACAAGATTTTCTGCAACCTCTGGTTCTAACAGCATAAGGAAAGTGGCCCCGTGTCTAAATGCCAAAGGGTATTACCTTAAGGATCTAGCTTCATATATAAAACTACCAATAATTTCAGAACTGATGTACAAACAACTATTTCTGGCCATCTCAAAAACAGGCCTAGAAATTGAAACGTCAGGAGTGCTGGACCAGAACCATCCAAAAATTAAGCAAATCACTATTCTATTAATGTAACAAATATTTTAACAGGCAGAAATTTGGTCCAAAAGTTGCTTCCCTTCACTACTCTGCAGATCTCGACCCAAAAAGGAAACTGTAGGATTGGAACCTCATGAATCATCAACATAAATCTGCTCAAGACTCTCATTAAGAAAAAAAATATGTCAGTCATCCTAAGACATACTTTCTACTATCCAGTGTCTCAATTTGATACCCTCACTGTCATGTAATGGCAAATTCGATTACAACAGATAATAGCTTCAAGAGAATCTTCATTTCATAGAGGCAGGGTTTTACTAGATGCTTTCCAATCTAATCTATTCTCAGGACCAGATTATGTCTTTTAAAAAACAATTCTAACAACAGTTCTCATCTAATTGATAGATTTATCACCAAAATCATTGTTAGTTCCATTTCTGCATTCTTAAAACTGCCCCAAAAAATAGATTACTCGTCACAGCCAACCCAAACTTCCATCCAGAAACCTTTCTTTTGTCAGTACTAACACCTACAGTTTAAGTAAACTCCGATATTGATAACAAGTAACATCACATTCTTCTTGGAATCATGATATTATAGATAGAACTAGAAATTAGTCAGAAACATGATTAAAATCAAGAATTTTCTTTGAATCATGTACAACATTCCCGAATCATATCCAGATTTTTAGACAGCAGGAAAGATTTTAAGATTGGAAATGTAGCACCAAAATTTGGCAGAATGAATCTAAGCAAAATTGCAAATGGAAGAAAACTTTCTGTGGAGGTAAACAATTTAATTTATATACTGATTACACTGATTTCCCAGCAAACAGCAACCTAAATCCAATTCGGAGCCTTTAACCAATGCCATTGATCATGAAAAACACCTTAATAGAAAATCTAAAATCCCATTTCTTATGAAACCGCACGTTACATACAAAACCAATGCAAATTCATCCAAATTTCAAGTGATTTCTAATAAATCAAGAACTTGTATATCCAAAATCATACATTTTCTCCGAATCAAAACCTGAATTCTCCTAGATACTCCTTACAAAAGAAAACAACATAAATCCAAAAACCAAAAATCAACGAACCGAAACCACTTACCGTCTTGAGTAACCAAGGGATAATCCGAAGCACTCAAAGCAATAAACCAATCCCAGCCACGATCAACCTTCATCAAAACAGCAGCAGCATGCAACGTGGCAGCAATATGCGTAGAACCCATATAAGAAAACCGATCAGGCTTCCCTATAACATCCACATTTCCAAAGCTCCTAATAGCAGGCACAGATTTCAAAGCCACCGCCAACCTATACCTTTCTTCATCAGAAGCATCTGCTCCGAGTTGCAACAAATATCGATTCCTGGGATGATAGATAGCAAGCAGTAGCCTAAAGATCCGATCTTTATCACCTTTTCCACCAAATATATAGTACCCAAAAGCAGGAGGATAATGAAGGCCATGTTGTACCAGTGAAGGGAAAGGTCTAGGGGAGCTGAAAGATGAGATTGAGTAAAGTAAGAGGAGGAGAATGGAGAGAAATGTAGCGGAAAAAAGAGTGAAAAGCCATTTCTTTTCAGCTCCCATAACAATAGTGCTTTAAGCCCTTCAAAATTTGTAACTTTTTTTAGGTAAATTTTGAGCATATGGGTTTATCGATGATAAAAAATTTGGGTTGAATTTGGATTTTGAAGATTTCAGGAAATGGGTATTTGGGGATCTTTTCTTTCAGAAGACTGAACACCATTGATGATAAAATCTAGATCAACACAGTAAATCTTTTTTTTTTCTCCTGAATTTTCACTTTGTAATGACAATGAAAATGATTCTGTGTTTATTTGATAATGAAATGAAATGCATGGAGTTGAACAGCTAACTAGGGTTAGGGTTTTTTTATTGTGTTCTGTTTCATATTAGATTTGGTTTAGGTGGAGAGTAGATTGAAGTTCCATCACTTCTTGGATTTCCTTTGCTGTTTATAATTCCATCTGATTTTTTTTTTTTTAATAATTTGATCCAAGAAAAGTTATGCAGTAAACTAACTTTTGCTTTTGTCATTGCGCGTGTTGCTAATTTTATCTACCTGAATATTCACGAGCTTGACTTGTGCGTGAAATAACGCGCTGCCGTCAAGGACACACCTCGTAAATCACTAGCGGCTAAATATTTCGTCCCTCACATTTGAAGTTGCTCGAATCAAACTTTAACTTTTAATTTTAATAAATAAGATTTAATGTATTTGAGATATAACAATTAAAGATAAATAAATAAAATTTGACAAGTGTATTTCATGCACCATTAATAGTACAAAAAATTTCAAAATAAAAAATGTATCTTTTTTATTATATTTTAAGATTTCAATGACAAAAATTATTTTATTTTTAAATTTAATTTAAATAAAAAATTATGAAATTATTATTATCTTTTTAAAAAAATATATTTGTAAGTGATTATAACTCAATTATAGATTTTTACTATTAACAAAATTTTAAAATGATTTATAATATAATTTTTATTAAATGATCATTTAAGATATTTTTATACAAAAAATATTTTAAATGATACCATTATAATATATGTCAAAGATTACTTAAAATATATTAAATAATTATTTTATAAAAAATTAAATGATTTATAATATATTTTTATTAAATGATTATTTAAGATATTTTTATATAAAAAACACCTTAAATGATTATTTTATCATATATGTCGAGGGTTATTTAAGATTTTTTTTATATAAAAATGACTTAAATAATTCTTTTATTTATTTCTTGAATATATTAGATTTTATTTGTTAAAATTAAAAAATTAAATCTTGATTTAAGAATCCTCAAATATTGAGAACCAATGAGCATTTAGCCTCCACTAGCACATAGGCAGAAGATTCAGTCATATAATATAAGATGCAGAAGTGGACATCACGCGCTCAACCTATAAGGTGGGGAAATATTCGATCTTGAAGAATTTTTAACTGTTGTTTTCACACATAAAAATCAAAATTTGCTAATTACACAAAAAAAAAAAAGGACAAGGGTCAAAACTTAAAATAGAAATTTTCTCCTTTTGCTCATCATTCCAAAATTGAAAAAAATTTTGTTCCATCTTGCATCGTGTTACGTGTAGTGATGTGATGGAATTGACCTATTAATTTTAGTTTGGATTGATGTCGGTACTTAAATTATAATATAATATTTAAATTTTAAGAATTTATAATTTAATTTTTAATTTATAAATCTGTAAATAATGTGATATTTTTTAATGCTGAAACAATGCATGAAATAAAAAAGGAAAAAAAAAATATATGAGGCAAAGATGAAAAGGATACGAGGAAGGAAAGAGAAGGCATCGGTTGGAGTATGAGACTTTGAATGCCGAGGCAGCAAACTCTGTGGTTGTGGTAGATGCTAGGCAAAAAAAAAAAAAGGTCGTTGTCGGTGAACAAAAAGAAATCAAAATGGCTTGAGGAAAAGGTAAAATCAGTGATGGCTCCAAGAGATGAAAGGTGGGGAAGGAAAGAGTGAAAAATACTTATTTTTTAAGTGGCATATATAATTAAAGGGTATAAGAGGTATTAGAAATAAATTTAGGAGTATTTTAATAAATATTTTGAGTTGGGTTGGGATGAATTTAGCTTAAAATGGCATCTTATCTAATTTGATTTTTTTTAAATAAAAATTTATTCTAAATTTGATTTAAAAAATATTGATTCTTATAAAATCAGATTGAATCAAATTTTGATTATTTTAAATTATTTTATTTTTTATTCATCTCAAATATATTTATTTTAAATAATGATATATGATAAGTAAATAATTTTTTAAGTATCATATTATTTAATGTATTTATAATTTAAATATCATATTATAAATTTTTAAAATTTAAATAATACATTAAAAATTTTATTATAATTCAAGATTTTAAATAAAGAAACAAATACTAGTGCATGGTTGCCAAAGCGAATTAATGTCATAATTTTTTGAAGGTAGAAAAGTTTAGGCGAGCGTTTTTATTTGAAGTTGGTAAAGTTTTTGGAATGTCAAAGTTTTAAAGGAATTGTCAAAATGGGTCACATGATTTTGATGAATTTTGTTTTAATTAAATTTCTTTTTATGTATTAATTAAAAAATTCTCATTACATCATATTTGTTACTTTATTAATCAAACTTTCAAAGGTTCAGTCAATTTAGCACTCGCGACTCGATAATAGAGCTTTAGTGAATGAAAATAATAATTTTTTTTGAGAATAAGTATCTTCATCACAGATTGGGCCGAGGATTAGGAGGAATATAAAAGGAATCAATCATAGATTGCCACTGTTTTAATAATCGGACCAAAATTTAAACTAACAAAAATATGGATTTTTTATTCAACCTATTGATGTTGTTTTTGAGGATTGATGTCGGAATGCCTAAGTATCTTTGTCACTGACATAGGAGGTTAGGGTGAATTAGGAAGGAGAGAGAGGGCCGTGATCATCCTTAATAATCGTCCTCCTGGCTAGTAGAAGTCAATGCGGTTCGTTGAATACTTGAATTGCATCAAATTCGCCAACTAACTCCTGTTGCTTGCAAGATTTTATTATAAAATATTGGCAATGATTTTTGACATATAATTTTAAAAAATTAATTAATAATATATTTTTATTTTTTATTAATATATATAGACAAATAATATATTAATAAATATATGATAAGAACATAAAATTATAAAATAAAATATTACTATGATAATATTATATTTTTAATAATAACATGATATATAATTGACTTTTGAATCACAAATTACATAGAAATTTTTAACTTTTTGATAATTTAAAAGTGAAATAAAAAAGTATGAATAAATCAATTATTAAATGTTTTATCAAAGCAAGAAAATTAAATATACTTATAAAAAAATGAAGATGAAGTTTTGAGACTAAAAATTTAGTGTTTTTTTTTATCATTCTGTAAGGTAATTCAAATATAATTTTTTTTGTTGAAAAAAATAATTACAACATATGATACAAATCTAAAGTAAAAATAAAAATAAAAAGTATACAAAGAAAATGAGTTAATAATAAATATAAATTTAAAAATTTACAAGTAATAATTATTGGATATAATGAATAAATAAATATAAATATGATTTGAATATATCTTAAATTATAATGTATAAATTTAATTTATAAAACACAAAAATAATAAAATTAATATTTTATATTAAAAGATCAATTTAAATGTATTTAATACAAATATACATAATATTTAAGGGGTTTCAAACATTTTGGAGCCAAGGCCCACTCAGATTTGTATTACATCTGCCATTGCTCAACAAAGTTTTGTTGAAATTATCCAACTTCTTTGGTTTAGGTCACCTTAATATTTATCGTTGTTGAAAAAAATGGATTTAAAATTGTAATTAAAATTTTTAATTATTTAATATTGTTATAAAAAAAATTTTGAGTAATTAAATATTTAAATATATATAAAATATTAAAATAGTAGATAATATAATAATTTATATCTCAAAATATTTTTTTATAATAAAAGCACCTTTTGTATAATTTTTTTAATTTGGATTACAAAACCTTACTTTTTAACTGAAAAATCATATTTTTTACTTTATATCTGATTGGCAATAAACTTTATACTTATTAATTTATTTTTTAAAAAACATAATTTAAATACCTTATGCATTGGAATAATATTCAAGAATTGAAATCAAGTAAAGAAGATATTTTCATTGATATCGAAATAATCAAATGTTGAATTCGATCAATATTGAATCAATTATTCAATTATCAATTATAAGTCATGATTTTCTAGAATTAATATGCAAATATGTTGAAAACAAAAGAAATTTTTTTTTTTTTGTTTACATGATCTGTTATTAATTTAATTTTTCAAAAGATAATGTGTTTTTGGCCAAATACAAAAAATAGCCTTATCATCAAAAGGACACGTGTCCTTCAGCCGTAGCGATATCGTTCAATCCCAAATAACCGTAGCTTGTAGTTGTAGTCACAAAGTGAAATAAAACCTGATCTCCTCGAGGCAGAAGTAAAGCTACAAAAAATTACCCCTAAGAACGACATGATATATTGGATAAAACGACATCAGACTCCGTTTAAGACTCTTTTGGTTTCTCTGTAGCTCATTTCTAAGTAAGCTCCTCTGCTGGTTCAGAAGGGCGAGACGAACGAGAAGAGAAAAGAAAATATAAATAATTTAAAAATTAATATAAAAGAATATGGTGTTTGGCGCCAGGAAGGTAGGCCATGTGGTGTCCGGTATTGGCGGGAACGGTGTAGGCCAGATTTTGGCCGCCATGGCCGCTGCACTCTTGTTACGCTTGTTCTACGGGCCCGGCCCAGCTCTCTTGCCGGAAAATGAAAACGGTGAAGAAAACGACGACGACTCCTCCGTAACCGGGGATGATGTTTCGCCGCCCGCTGGTAAAGTTTTTCCTGTCACTATAACATGGAGGAACATCACCTGTTCCCTCTCTGATAAACACTCAAAATCAGTAAGTAAATAATAATTTCTGTCTCCTTTTTTTAGAATATTTTATTTATTGTTGCATTTCTGTCTGGTTGCTGAGAAAATGCGCAGAATATGCAAGAAAATTAAAAAGATAATGAGCTTTTTAAGTTAAAATTGAAATTGAAAATGATAGGACTGTTAATTGTCTTTTAAATAGGATAAAAGATGTATTTATTTTATGATAGGTTCGGTTTCTGCTTAAAAATGTGAGTGGAGAGGCAAAACCTGGAAGATTACTCGCCATAATGGGGCCGTCAGGATCAGGAAAAACCACGCTGTTAAACGTTCTGGCAGGTCAGATTTTGGCATCTCCACGATTACGGTTGTCAGGCCTTTTGGAGTTCAATGGGAAGCCTAGTTCAAATAAAGCTTACAAGTAATGCCATTATCAAATTTAAAACCATTCGAAGTGTAGTTTATATGTGGTTGTGATTGGCTTTTCTGAGAGTGTTTGTTGGTTGTTGTAGATTTGCTTATGTGAGACAGGAGGATCTTTTCTTCTCGCAGTTGACAGTGCGAGAAACGTTATCTCTTGCTGCAGAACTTCAGCTT